AGTGAGACCGGTTTGATTGCTGGTATTCTCGAAGCGTTCTGTCAGTGCTGCAGGAATTCTGTTACGTGTTTGGAAAGTGGAACAGATCGCTCGGGTACGCCCTTGGAATGAGAGGGAAGGGCCGCGCCAGGGCGTGCAGAAAGCGGAGGCACAGTTCAAGGTGGCCGCCTCGGTTTCTCACGTCACGGCGCAAATTTAAATCAACATACGCCCTGTTGATTCATTACTGGGATTTTACCATAATAATTTTGCCGTTACCTTTAGTAACGTGTTATCGGCTAGAGTTTTTATGTAAGTATTCTTCTGAGGAAGTATGTAGCTTCTTTTTTAGTTTCTTGTGGTGGGGTCAGACTGAATCCACTTGGTGCGCCGGCCACTAACTGGCCTATGGTACCAGCCCCGGATGATAGATGAATGTGGAGAAGTCGGTGGAATGAGAATTGGTAGGTGAAACCGAAGTACTCGGAGAATTTTGCCCAGTGCCACTTTGTCCACCACAAATCCTACATGATCTGGCCTGGGCTTGAACCTTGTCCACCGCGGTGGGAAGCCGGTGACTAACAGCATGGGGTACGGCACGGCCCCGAGGAACTGTCTAACGGGCTGCCTCTCACATCGCCACTGAACACTCATCTCATCTCTGGAGTGCCAGAAAGAATACTCAGACAACATGAAATGTGCATAAAGAAAGGAGATTTACGAGTTTCATGACGTGAACTGCTTAAAGTTTTCCCTGGACTTAATTAAGCACCACAGCAGATGTGTGAGATAATGAACACAGAAGCTTCACGTTTTCTCAAAGTCGGTTCTAGATTGACATAAGTGGCCAGCTTCACGCTAAGGCTGCTTTCACATGGAGGAAAAGATCCTCGGTACTGGGCGAACCGCAGAGCCTATTCTCTTGTCCCTCTCAGTAATCGAACCCGAATAATCGGCTGTTCAGGCCGTAAACGTATAGTTATACGAATTGAGATATACTTCTTACTAAATATTATTCGGGTGATCAAACCAAGGAGGATGAGGCAGGCAGGGAATTGTCGTACATAGAACAGATGAAAAATGCATAAAAATATTAGGTAGAAAATATGAATAGAGAAGATCGTTTGGGAAACGAAAACATAGAAATTGAACACACTGATATGTATCTTGGCCAGTCACGGTAGCCGAGAAGTCTAAGGCATGCGCTGTCTTCGCTCGCTCGGAAGGCGGGATCGTGGGTTCGAATCCCACTCAGGGAATGGATGTTCAGTGTTTGTGCGTTGTTCTGTGTTTTTGTACATGCAGGGAGACCTTGCGACGAACTGATCACCCACCCAAGGAATCCTACAGAATATCTATGATCCAGTAAACCGAAGTGAAGGTAGGCCAAGGTCCACATTGGGGCGTAAGCGCCAACGGAAAATATATATATATATATACATCTTACAGAAATGGAATATAAGGGTGTCGAGTGATTCATTTCGCTACAGACAAGGACCATTGGCGTCATCGTTTGAGCTTAGTAATGTCTTAGTAGTGTCTATGAAAGGTAGAGAATTTCTTGACCAGTTGAGAAGCTATCAACTTCTCAAGAACGGTCCTGCCCAAGAGTTACCTGCTTATAACTGCCAGTGGTAAATTAATGAAGGCTGTTTAATCCAGTTGTCGAGCACAGGTTTTCGTTTCAGACTTAACCCTGTAAGAAATTAAGGCAGTGGAACGACGGGAATTAGAAACGTTTGTTTGTCCTTTACTTTAAATGATGCCCTCAGGCCCACAAGTTGCTAATGCACCAGAGTTAACATGGAATTTCACCTTGAAACACTTCGCGGATTATAAACATTTAGAACTCAATCTTGGCTTTCATTTTCAGGTTTTTCTTCAGGCGAAGTATATAAAATGAACACACAAGAGGGAGGTTGTAATTTATTTATCTATTTATGGTCTATATGAAGAAACTCATTGGCTCAGACCACACAGTCAGATGACAGGATGATTAGTGAATAATGAATTGGAGGAGATCTGGAAGGAGGCGGTCATGGCCTAATTTTAGGTGTCATTCCATATGTTGCCTGGAGGGGCAGAAGAAAACCATGAAAAGCATCAGTCAGATGCAGCCGCTTTTCTGAGAGAGGTTTTGAGACAGAACCTCAATGGAGGGCTACCTATCCGTCTTCTTCTTTCATATACGAAGGTTCTAAACGAATTTTGGTGAAATTTGACATTGCACTTACATTAGTGTTGGGGGAAATTCTTTTAGTACTCCTACCGGCTCAAAGAATTTGCGACCTTGCATGAAGCTGAAATCGGTTTTATTATTCTTTTTAAAAGTGGCTTATCATGCAAAATATTTACACATAGTAGAGGTAAATAGGTAAAGTTGTCCTTGTGTTTAACTAATTAAGCATTACACCATGAAGGAGTATGGAGAAATGGATGTATAGATCCATGTTTTCTTGACCTCAGCACTAGATGGAGGTGAGTGGTAAGCTTCACACCCCGGGCCGCTTTACCTCTGGTGAAAGAGTCTCGGTATTCATTGGATAGGAGGCTGGGTGGGTCCCAAATCCGGTCTGGACGACGTGTAGAAAAGAAAATTCTTGATTCTACCGAGACTTAAACTCCGATCCCTCGGTCGTCCAGCTCGTAACCAGTCGCAATACCTACTATGCTATTCCACCTCCTCATTTTCTGGCTTACTCCCGTTTAAAATTAATCAATTTAACAGCTTATTTGTGATAGTTTAGTGTGATAATCCTTTAAAGCACAGCAGTTACATGGGCCGCCGTCTTTAACAATTAGAAACTCTGTATTTTGCCTGGAGGCTGCTTTTATTGGGTTCGCACCATTCTCGAAATAAACTTCGATTATTTCTCTAAACAGAATAAAGAGAATGATCTCTGCAATGGACTTGCAGTGTGCTTTCTGTGGAAGACTAAAATTTTTAAACATACTTTTGGTGCAATTCTACAAGGAGCCAACTACTTTCCAGAAGCTTGCACTTTTCTCGGTTCTCATAGCAACTTCCTGTTCATCGTGTAAAGCCAACTACATACTACACGCAGTAGACTATTGGTTGCGAAACCTGGGCTTCTACACACAAATCCAGAACCAAAACATTTACTTAAGGATAATTGGAAAATAAACAACCAACGTGAACTTCTTCGTAGATTTTTCACTTATTAAATTCGATGCGTACCTCATGTTAAAACTACAAATACGTGTGAAAAAATACATCTATATACATCTATCCTGGGGATCCAATAGTAGAAGACAATTAGGACAACTCTGAATAGAACCAGTTGACCAAAGTCTGTTAATATACCTAAGAAATTACGTATACAACATATTTTCTCACGAAATTTGAATATTAAACATGGAGTACAAAAGTATACAAAAAAAACGTGACGACATGATGACATAAGATGGAGGAAAGAGTGAGAAATTGCAAATAAGCACTTACTACCACAGTCAATAAGTTCGTGGAATTGCAGCAAAACGTCGTACGGGAATTTCCTGCCAATTTATTTCAGCAATGTTTTCGACAGCTATATCAACGTTGCCAGACTTGCATTGCAGCCAGCGACAACTATTTTTTTGGTAGATGTGGATATGTGTAAGTGTATGTAAATACCTTGTAATATGATGCGATAAACCCACATTCCACGAACTTAATGACTCTACCACGTAGATCGAATTAAAAACAAGTAAAATTTAAACATATAAATATGTGTATGATAAAAGCAGATATGACAATAGCACAGATAATTAGGTAACTTATATGTTATTCTCAACGTCTGTGAGTGGCATATATCCAAGAGAAATTCTTTGTGTTGAAATCATTGCCCACGACAATTGTACAGACAAGTGCAGCTCTTCTGCAGAAAATATCCTCTGCCTGCTAAAGGTGAAGCGACCGCCTCTGTGGTCTAGAGGTCAGCGTTGCTGGCTACAGATCTAGAGGTCTGGGTTCGATTTCCGGCGGTACAAGGTATTTTCTGAGAAGTAGTGGGTCTGGAACCGGGTCCACTCAGCCTCGTGATGATAATTGAAGAGCTATTTCAATACCGGCCACTAGCTTCCACAGCTATTATGGCTTAAGTATTCAGTGTTTTTGTTCAGGATCCATGATGTCTGCCGGTCTGTATTCCTCGCAGGTATCAAGATTAGGGTCTCCTACTGTACTGCTGCACTGTTTGTATGGGTCGAGATACAAGTAATGGAGATCAGGTATTGTTTTAGATTTGCTGGTTCACGGGCTATCCGAATATGGGGTCCCGACCAACTACCTCTGTCAGATACCTTGTTTCAGGAATAATACCATTTCACGGGACATATACAATAGTCGAGATTAAACTGGTTAAATATCAAACTTCCATAAAAATCTCCAGGCAATTATGAAAATGGCCGTATACTGGTCGTCTTACAATTCAGACGGTCTAGCCCGACAGGTGTTTCAATATACTGAAAGTGATTACTTTTTCTCGCCTTGTTTGTACATATTAAGGCACACTTACGTCATTTTCACACATTAAGGAAAATTTATTTCATTTTCATACATTAAGGGATATTTTGTTTTACCCATTATGGAACACTTGTGTCATTTTCACACATTAATTAAAATATTTATAATTTACAGACATTAAATAACAACATGGTGGGAAAAATGTTTTAAATAATTTTGAGGTTGAACTGCTCCAAACTAATTACGAGCAAAAATGGATATTGCTGCAAATAATGTAAAATCCTGTAACACTTTCCAATGTAGATGCAGGTTCAGAATTGAGGTGGTCTTCTGGGTTGTGAGATCACGTCGCAGTCTGCTAGGTACCAATGTAAGCCAGTGGTTTCATCGTAATAATGCGGCTAGTATGTCCCTCCGAAATGTTGATAGCCACCCACAAGACTACGGTGTCGCAACCTAAAACACCACTCTCGGGTCCACTCTCTATGTGTGTGTGTGTGTGTGTGTGTGTGTGTGGATATTTTTGTATCTTAAATTTACGTGGGAAATTTTTCAGACGCTGCCAGTCCTAGTGGGAATCACGGTGCTCCTGCTGGTGTCTCCAGGCCTGGCTCGGCGCGTGCGCGTAAGACCAGTAAATGATGACGTAGAAGATCAGGAAGTGCGGGGTCAACGTGTACAGTACTACGCAGCCCAGGCACCTGCAGACGATTCACAGACCGCTGGGGTTGTTCTGGTATCAAGCCAAGATGCTTACGGGGGCCTTCAGTACTCTCGACCACGGGCACAAACAACTGTTGACGAACAACAGTATCGAACAGTTGGCAGAGCTCTGTCTGCTACCCGCCCAGTTGCAAGGCCCAAGGAAGCTTCAAAACAGCCTCCTGTACAAACTATCCGTAATTACAGCAAGTACAATGATGATGGCTCCTTTACGTTTGGATACGAAGCAGCTGATGGCAGCTTCAAGGAGGAAGTGCGAGGTACAGACTGCGTTGTGAGGGGCAAGTATGGATACGTAGACCCTGATGGCAACAAGAGGGAGTTCACGTATGTGTCCGGCAACCCGTGCGACCCGAACAGTGTCAGTGAGGAAGAGGACGAGCATGCCAAAGGACTGGCTGAAGACAGTGGAGAAGAAAACATTCCAAAAGGACCGTTGAGACCACTGAGGCCAAGACCTACTGTTGCACCCCACACGAGGACAACAACGACACTTTTCCAAGAAAACTACAACCAGGCTGATGAAGATGATCTAGACGATGACCGACAACAGGTGTACCATTCGGCGTCCCCCGTGAGAGGGCGCGTTGTTCCACTACCCACTCAGAGACCACAAGTGTACCAGTACGTCCAGGATGAACAAGATTCCGTAACACAACGCCCAGCAGTCAGAATCACGCCACGTCCTCTCACAGTGGCCACAACTGTCAAGTCACAACTGCCTGCAACCACTTACCGGCCTCAGCTCCTGCCTATATCCGTCACCCCTCGACCTGGTGTCGTATATACCAAACAAGTTACCAGCGTTGGGCATCCAACCCAGTCCTCCCTTTATGCTACTCCCACGACTACGGCTCCTGTTGATTTTGATGCCGAACTGAGGAAATTCCAGCTGCAGAACAACGTAGTGACGACACCACGAACTGTAGCGCGTCCCGCTGTGGCTCTACAGTCACAGTATCAACAGCCTAGGCCAATCACACGACCACAGACAGTATCTCAATCGTCTGCCAAACCTCTGTCCTCGGATCCCGTGTATCAGACGGAACTGGTGTACGATCCATCCAGCGGTCAATACAACACAGTCTTGTACCAGACACTGCCTCAAACAACAGCTGAGGTGAGCCTTAAGCATAGGCTACAGCCGTTTGTGAACACACAGCAGTCCCAGTCATTGTTCACACCTCAGATCTACGAACAGATACAGCAGAACCAACAGCTGTATTCTAGACAGCAGCAACAGCAACAGCGTGTGGTAGAACAGCGGTACGAGCAGCCAGCCACCAAGACCACCGGTCCTCAGAGGTTCCAGCTCTACCAACCACAACAATCTGCTCAGCGTCCTGTACAGCCGTTCTACTATGTAGCGCCCTCTGACGTCGGTGGGCAAGCCCAGGGACAAATCGACGCTTTCCTCAGGGGACACAATATTGCGTTCTGAATATATCCCTGAAACAAATGGGACCAGTGAGGCGTCCCAGTACTCGTGCATTTGAAGTGACATAAATATTGTACTTTGTCGGACTGCGTCAACAGCTCAGAGGTTCTTCCCCTTCTGACAAAGTCCAAAGTCATTGATGTGAGTAGAGCAGTGGTTCCCAAACTGTAATTAGCAAGCCCTAAGGCGTACGCAAAAATATGAAAGGAGACAACTGGAAAAATGCCAAATATCGGAATTCTTTTGTGCCAATTTTTTAAGACAAATAAAAAAATAAATCATTAATTTTAATATGGAGGTTCTGTTTGTTTCTTCGAAGAAACATTATAAAAATCTCTCTTCTTTGCATAGCTACACTACCTTTCTCTTCAGAGAGGTAATGAATTCTGAAACACTCTATAAATATTTAGCTTTATGGTGTGTTTCATATCAGGTTGATGTTTGGAAGTTAATAAAATAAAATCCAGGGAAGGAATTTCCCCAAATTATATAATTTGATAAGATTTTTTTTTCGGGTTTGTTAGGGAGGAATTCGGGAATTGGTAAAGTTTGGGAACCACTGATGTAGAGGTAAAACGATTATTTCTGACACATATTATTCACAACCAAAAAAATAATTACAGCAACTGCTCGAAAAAAGTATTCAACGCGAAAATATTTGAGATACTTTTTTCGTGTATTTCATAATACTTTATATTCCAAGAACGAATGCCTACCAATGAGAGTAACCAAATTTACTTAGGAGCAAATTGTGCCATTTATATGAGATACGGCCCTCCATAAGAGGGGCCAAAGTCTCCCAGTGTATGGTACTATTACGTGCGCTACAGCAGTGACAGGGCTCGAAAATGAGCAAATTTCTCTCCACACATATAAGTGTAATGATGTATATTATGGGAGAATTAGGTGTAGAAGATGAGGAATAGGAGAGCAGGTAACTGAGTAAACTAACGACGGAAAACCCATGAAAGGATAAAGCCAAGAACATGAAGTTTCTCTTCATAACATGTAACATGTTTTATTCATCGACCGATAAGAAGTCATGACACTCAAAATATTCTCATAACGTCCTGTATAAGACTTGACACCACTTTCCAGTTTATGCCTGAGCTATTCTGTCTGCACATCGCTGCAAATGTTGACCAACTTCAGATGCTAATGCTCATATATGTTACTCGTAGCAGTCTAATATTTTCCATAACCTTCTGCCACCAGAGCCTAAAATACTTTTGTAAAATATAAATTTATCTCTATACAGTTATGCAATTAATTTGGATTATTATTTAATGACGTACTTAACACAGATTATTAAGATTAAATATACTCTTCTGGTCTTTCTTATTCTCACTCTTTTTTTCTATCTTATTTCTCATTCTTAGTCCATAGGCGTGGAGCATTCCAGCCTTTTATTCTCAAATTATTTACTTTCACAACTTCATATGTTGCTTGTGACAAATGTCATTTTAATATTGTAGTTATGTGTATAGGATATTGGTGGGAAATCCAGAATGAAAGAGACCACTGGGAAGACCAAGGTGTAGGTGGGTGGACAATATTAAAATTGATCTTAAATAGAATGGGATGGTATGGATTGGATTGATCTGACCAGTGGAGGGCTCTTGTGAACACGGTGATGAACCTTCGGGTTCCATAAAATGTTGGGAAATTCTTGAGTAGCTGCGGAATTGGCGATTCCACCAGAAGGGCTCAGCTCCATGAGTAAGTAAGTTGCTATAGAACCTTACGCCTACATTTTCAAGCATGAATTTCTCTACCCTAGAAACAGAGGCAGGAGAGTCAACCGAAGATTTAGTAACCACACACAGAATTATTCGGCTTTGTACAACGGAACACCAAAATATTGTGTTTCTCCGCAGTGAAAAGCTCAGGTCTTAACAGATTTGTTTTTGGTCTTCCAAGTTCATGTATTTCAGTCTGTGTCCAGTAAATTAGTTATTTCAGTCTCATATATCCCCTTGTTTCTACATATTCTTATTCATATAAAATTTCATTCCAGACCAAATTTAGATTTAGCTTCAGAATTAAATACAAATACAAATTGAAATCCACTGATCTCTAATAAGCCCATTTTCTATTCTTACATTCATTTCACCCCTAACTTCTGAATTACAGTGGAGAATCATTACTATTATTGTGTATTTATTCTATGTTATATTTAGATTAGATTTATTCTGATACAAGATACTGATCTAGTTTCAGTTCAGTATGTATTTTACTTTCTTAATTCCTTGCAGCATAAATAACAGGAAATCCACTAAAACTGAAGTAAATTTTTGTTCCTTCCATTGTAGGCATTTTGTTTAAAATTCTAAGAATGGTTTGCGAATATTGGCGTTGATGAAATGAGAAATTATTTTAATACAACACATCTGAATCAGCAAGTATTCTAATGATGACTTACTACATGAAAGACAGTCTTTCTTGAGTTGATGATTATCAGTGACCCAGAAATTAATTCTTGTCACGGAAACCGAACATGAATCGCTACGATTAAAGAGAACCAATAGTTGGATCCTTTGGCACCTCAGTCCAGCTCACGGAAGGTTCGCTTCAATACTTCCCATGTACCCGTGAGGTACCTCCCATACAAATGAATGAATTGGACTGAATTAATCACCTGCATAATAAGATCAGTGAAACCCTTCTTATCCTGTTTCAGACATTAGAAAGTAACTAAATATGGCTCGTTAGTAAAGAAATTCTAGACCAAATATATCTATAGAAGTGTTTATTGCGAGCCAAAACTAAGCCACAAAACTTAATATATTGCTCTGTGGTCAGAAATGTACATGATATGAGATTTCGCACACAAACAAATAATTACAGAATAATTACACAATAAAATGAATCTGTAGAAACCTACAATAAGAAACCATTCGGCGTGAACAAACTTACTGTAAACAATCCACTTATTTAAACTGCTCTGCATGTTTCTGCCCTTTGGCATGAAACCTCTCTATTTATATTTATTAATTTCAGATAACATCGTGAGGTACGTATTAAAATATATTCCTGTGTTATACTTGCAGACATCTGACAAGAAACAGGAAAAAGTATCAATCCGAAAATACAGCATAGAACAAGAAACCTTTTTCCCGTTAATATTTTAATGTATTTTGTAGCCTATGTCTGTATAACTTACGATTTTACTAAGAACTGCCTCAATTTTAAAACAATATGTAAGATTTGAAGTTTTCACGGCGGTGACTATGAAGAATGCCGTCTTCTGGGATGTGGCGCTGTGTAGATCTTGTGTGAACTGACTTTTTGGAGGAACGTATCGCCTCCATCTTCAGGGTAGAAAAATCCGAGAGAGAGGAACCAGAGAGAGCAGGTGGATGCAGACTGCGGATTCTTCTACCCTGAATATGGAGGGGACATGTTCCTCCCGAAACGTCGGTTCACACAAGATCTACACAGCGCCACATCCCAGAAGACAGCATTCTTCAATTTTAAATCAAGTTTCCTTTGCTATTGGACCTCTGAAGATGGTCTTAAAGTGCGCAATCATATAAGACCATAAAAGCAATAATTACGTTACTCATATTAAACTTATTTACTCTGGATGTTTTATCATTCGAAGATTAATAGAATACAGGGAAGATGTCTTGTGTTAAAATATATTAACAGCTTTATACATTGCTAGAGAAGAACTTGAATAATAATTAATATTCTGTTCTTGTGTCAGAAATATTCGTGATATGAGAAATTCTTCGCAGAGAAGTATTGGTAGAGAGAAGGAAGAAGTCGAAGTGAGCGTTGTGTTGTCATTGCAGTTTCCACGAGAACTGATTTGTTAACTGTTTAATTATCTCTTTATTTTGGCGCTTGTAGCTCAAGCCCAAACAACACGAGTCTGAGTGACTGAAGTGCGTGCCTGTGAGTGTGTGTGTGTGAATGTGTTTCACTATCAGTCGCGAAGTGAAAGTGGTCCGCCCAGCTGGCTTTGTTATGAATGGTTTAGTAACGAACTATACTTCATGTGGAAACGTTCTCTTTCACTTTTATAGATACGTTAGGTACAATACAGAATAATTATTGTTACTAGATCCAGACGTTTCTTTCAAATCAATACCTTTGGTTCCATTACATTGCAAACATTTCCCCATATAGAAAAAACAATCTTCTGAAACAAGAATTGCATGACAGAAATAAGCTCTCTGTGCACTTTATATATGAAATGAGTGTATAGTGAGATTATATTATCCTTCTTTTTCGATAGTTTTTTTTTTCAAAACTACTTGATGGATTACGATTAAACTTGACAGTAGTTTTAAAATTGTGCAAATGTATTACTTGTGCATACCGATCAAATGAATACCACATTTACACGGCACTCATATCAAACATAACAAGTTTCCAAAAATTCTTTCGTTACAAGAATAATTTTTGTTAACGACTTAGTTGTTTCGATGTCAAAAATTGATATTTACATTACATCTTAATGAGGATTATGTTTATATGAAATCAATTAATTTATTTCTAAGAAGTATAATTTTTCTTTTTTATTATTTTTTCAACAATTTTTTTCCCCTTGGCACTACAGCCCTAGTGGGCCTAGGCCTACCTCCGTGAACTTGTCCCTTAACTTCGGTTTTTCTAGATCTTACACATTGGGTAGAACTCCTTGGGTGGGTGATCAGTTTTTCGCAAGACCTCTACCTGCACACAAACACAGAAAAACGCAGACACGCAAATTAACATCTATGCCCTGAGTGGGATTCGAAACCACGATCCCGATTTCCAAGCGAGCGAAGACAGTACATGCTCTAGACCGCTCACTATCATGACCGGCTTTTTCAACAATAGGTTACAATATTTTTAACATCCTAAACCTGACCATTTGAAGTCTATATCACAACAAAATTGAAATATATGTTATATCTACAAAATAACTTTTCCCGCCTCTCAACGTCTGTGTCCCACCTAATTACAAATTTTATCAAACGAGATCTCAAGCAAGAAATTGGCTTTCATGTCTCTTAATGGTCATTTTAGAAGCCTCCGTAATTAAACGAATTCCTGAGAACCTTCTGTGTGCACTGACTGTGGTTATGTGTAGCCGGCTATTATCTATGGACCAGTGAGAAAGAGGACAAGCGTTTGGTTTCAGCTTTAACAATGATCACGCTTGAACTTTTCCACGGTAATTCCCTCAGACCGTTTCATTACAGGATCTCACTCTCGCGTTCTCATACGTTGACAATTTTATGTGTAATAACAAAAGGAAAACATAATGATACAGGAAATGTGTTCAGTCTCACAACGTTTTCACTTAGTATTCCCCCGCTTATTTCAGCATCCGATGGCATTTCTCTGTAACTGCTAGTGTTATGAAAAGGATTCTCTTCTCGATTTCACTGTGTGTCTTTTTGTTCTTATCTCGCATTTCTCTGGGCCATGGAAATATTTTCCTATCATTCTTAAGTCATGGTTTATCTGCATGGAAGAAAGTCTAACCCGTGGAACAATGCCCACATTATTATGTGGGATTAGGGCGAGAAGACTAATAGACAACAGTGAAAAGCATACAAAACCTCCAAATGTCCTGGGAGGATTCGAAACCAGAATCCCATTTCTTTCTACAGTCTTGGCACTACCCAGATAGGCACCCCCACTATTTCCTTTATTTCTTTCTCAACAACGAATTATGAACAATAAGTTATATTTGGGCAGTATGTTTACATATCAATGTCTTCTTATTTAGTGTTTGTCAGAAAATGTATTTTGTTATTCTATCCTGTCTTATTGTAAATGACATTTTCTCATTATTTTACACAGTGTGTCTGAGAAGTTTATGATAAATATGTTTGGTCCTATAAAATGTTTCATACGCTATTTTTGTTTCGTAATAAAGAGTATACAAGTCACTTTGCCATCAGAATCAACCCTATCAGCGCTTCCTTTATCTCAGAATAGAAACATTCACAGCGACTAAATTCAATAAACATGTGGAGAGATCAGCCGCGTTGACACGGAAAAAGGATCCGAAGTTTTGGAGAATATCTGTGCTTTACAGCGTCTCAAATATCTCAGAATCCTGTTGCATTGAAGTACCTATCACTCTTTCAGTTTCTCACCCGTCTATAATGCAACACCCTTTTTATTTTAGATGACACCAAACTTAAATTCAAATGACTAAAATGTCAGTTAAAGTGCTCTTAAAATATATATATGTATAGAAAAGGTAGAATATAAAGTTATCCCTGTAAGCCGTGGAGGCCCATATGGTTGTGAGAGGCTGAGGCTCCCACATCATCTAGTCAATCGGCTCACAGATGGCGGTAAGGTTGTCAGCCTAACGCGCCGGCCGCCATTTACCTCCCAGGAAGATTCCTGGTACTCATTTGTGTTAGAGGCTGAGTCTACCCCAGGGCCATAGTGCAGCTGGAAGGTTTAGGTTAATTGAAAAAATCCACCTCATCGGGAATCGAACTCGCGACCTTCTGGCTTGTAGCATAGTGCCTCATCCAACTACGCTACCGAGTACCCCCACACATATATTCTAT